GCCGAGTGTGCTCGGGACGGGTTTTTGTCCCGTTCCGCCCGTCATGGTGGTCGCTGTCCCAGAAAGATCGCGTCGCCAGCCCGGTAGAGCGCCTGGGAGAGACCGCGGCACGGCCGGGCCCTGGATGGGGAGACCGAGGCATGCCTGGGTGCCGGAGGGGAAGACCGCTGTGCGCTTGGGTCCCGGATGAGAAGACCGCGGCATGGCTGGGTCCCAGAGGGGAGATCGAGGCATGGCTGGGTCCCGGGGGACCCGCGATTCGCCTGGGTCCGGGACGGGGAGACCACGGCACGGCTGGATCCCGGGGGGAGACCGCGGAATGGTTGGGCCCCAGAAGGGGAGGCCGCGGCTCGGCTGGGCCCCGGACACGCTGGCGGCGCTGCGGCTAGTCCTGCTGGCCGCCTGCGTAGCTGAGATATGGCATTCCAGCTGCCAGGCGGCGGCTGAGGAGAAACGTGCCGGTGCACGTACCGTTAAAGATACTCCTCGGCAAATTAGGTGGGAGTGATCGATAGCAATCTTGCAGGCTTGCTCTGGCCCTGCTTTATCGGCCTGCATGCCGTCCGCTGTTAAGTGGTGGTCTGCTTCAGACCTTTTAGTAGCACCGATGACGAATCTGTTTGCCTTGCGGCCTCAGACGTCGATGTGTTCTGCCACAGGGTTTTGCTCGCGCTCAGGCATGCAGTCATACTAGCCGACAGGTCCACACGGAATCCCTGCGCGTTAAGTTTAGAAGACTGGCGTTACAAGAACCTACAAGCAAAAACAGGCGAACAAGCGAAACTCGACGGGCCTGCGTTAGTGTCGCGTTTTTGCTTTACATCGCCAAATCCAGAGAAAACATAATAGCCTCCCACGGCTGCGCGAGGAGTGACATAAGCCTTCCCACTAATGCTAGGCTGCAGACTCCCCGTCTGGCTGTGAGAGTTGACACGCGTTCTGCACAGGAGCGTTCAACGTGTTTAAATCCCCATGCAGGCTGAAGGCGTAATTAGGCGTTGGGTAAACGGATTTGATTTGAAACGTGGAGTTTGACACCGAATTTTGCACCTAATTCAGGCAAACTACTGACGCAACGCGCTGGTAGCCGTGTCTCGTTTCAGGCATATAGCCTGCTTTGACAAATCAGCTCAATCTGCGTGTGGTGCCACTACGAACTTGTGGCCCAGACGGTGATGTAACAGGCGACGGTACAAAGCTCAGCTAGATATGGAGTGCATCAAAAACGCGTGCTGCAAGAGAGGAAACTAACAAACTTGACGAGTTTTTATAGCGCAATTCTAGTAATGAGAACGTTGATGGCAGACAGCGATGGTCAGTGATCACCCTGATGACTGACGAGTTTAGGGCGCGCCTACTCCGGAGGCCTCTTTGTGACCAGAAATGGTCAGAGAAGATGGCAAGGATAGAAACTTTTGCAGCGATCAGATTTTCATCGTGGTCATAATCTGGCCATAATAAAATGTAAGCTTGCTGACGACAGCGCTTGAAAATGTCTTCCGAAGCCATCCCTTGGTGTCAGCCTGTTCCTGCAGCCCGCCGGCCATCTGGAGCACGATCGCTGCTGAGCAGCGCAGCAGAAGCTGTGTTCTCTGAAAGTCGTCCGGAGTTCTCCCGAGCTTTCAGACCGAACCGGACCGGAACGGACTGTACCGGATACCGGAACGGGCCGCGGTCCACCCGCGTGGGCCTGATCGAAACAGTCCGTCCGTCCGGACCGGGCCGGAACAGGTCGCGGCACTGGCCAGAACTGCTGAGCCGTTACCACAGAGTGTGGTGGAGCCGGCGGCGCGGCGGTCAGGGCTGGTTCCGCGAGCGACAGCCTCAAATCGGGGACGGGAGGCGGGGCCCTGCACTGGTGTGGCTGCCACATCCGCCTCAGGTGACACGACCGGGCCCGGCGTCGGCGGAAGCTGCGGCCACCTCTGCAAGGCTCGCCTCAGCACCAGCGTGGTACCAGCACCAGCGCCAGCACCAGCACCGCGGAGGTTGCATGCGTCACATTCTGAGGCCTGGTCAAAACTTGAAATGAGGGCGATAGCAGGTTTCTACCTGCTCCTCAGGAATTTGACCTCAGAAGTAAGTTGTGCATAATTTCGCCCAGCATTTAGAAGCATCGTGCGGAAAAATTCGCGACGTCGTCAGTGGCTTAAGAAAATATTTGTCCACTAATTTGACAGCAGCTGGTGAGGTTTCTGCATCTCACTATTTTGTATACCTCACTGTGTTTGCTCGTAAAATTCGCCGCGCCTGACGTGAAATGCTTAAAACTACCAAGAAGATGCCAGAGCCAAGCTTGCATAAAATGTCATGCGTGTTTAATCCAATCAAAAGAATTTAATGTGTTATAGAGCTGCGGAAAACAAAGCATAAGTGAATGTAGAAATTGCTTTAAAATAAGTCAAGCATAAGCATCCAATAGCCAAACAACGTTACGCGTATTTTTGGGCCTAGAAAGCTGAGTGTTTCTCGTTGCTGTTCACAATGGCAGTCATAGTTTTTTCTTATATGTATTTTTTCTTATATATATATATATATATGTATGTGTATATATATATATATATATATACATATATATATGCCGTGGACCTGATCATACTTCTCCATAACTATCGATGCTCTCGTAGCGGGGTAGATTATGATATAAGAGAGAGAGAGAGAGAGAGAGAGAGAGAGAGAGAGAGAGAGAGAGAGAGAGAGAGAGAGAGAGAGAGAGAGAGAGAGAGAGAGAGAGAGAGAGAGAGAGAGAGAGAGAGAGAGAGAGAGAGAGAGAGAGAGAGCGAAAGAGAGAGAGAGAGAGAGAGAGAGAGAGAGAGAGAGAGAGAGATATATATATATATATATATATATATATATATATATATATATATATATATATATATATATATATATATATATATATATATATGCATGTAATTTCATGTATCTTTATATCTTTTATTCATTTATCTCATGCATACTTAGCTGGTCAAAGGTCCGCGGAGGAGGCGGTGCTTTGACCAGCTGGTCGCCCGCCAAAGAGGGTTAGCGTGGTCCGAGGCGGCTGCGTCGGAGCACTACACGATATGATAAAACATCCTATCTAGCACGAAGGCTGCAGACAACAATCCGATGGCCTGGACCAGCCTTCTTCGAGTGGCAGGTTCAGAGCACACGCAACCTCGGAACTTCTCGGAACCCAAACCCGTTCCTCCAAAGGATGCGAGGTAACTTTTAAAAACCTGAGAGGCCGCAATAGCGTTTGGGTCGGGATTTGCTTGGCAAGAAAGGAGCAGTGGAACCCTCGGTGGGGGGGGGGGAAGGGAGAGGGGGGGAGGACAGTAAGACAACATGATGCGTTTTGATTAAACGTGGTGAGATTAATAATTACAGCTCAGCGTCCAGAGTCTGGGTGCTGCACTACCCCACAGTCCGACGATGTGGCGTCTGGCAGGCCCTTTGACGGCACGGCGGGCTCACGGTCAAAGTGAGGAGCGGCTCACGGTGCGGCAGCGGTGCGGAGAGGCTGTCCTCAGTCCGCGCCGCCTCAACCGCCGATGACAGCCATTGCTGAGGGGCTGCGGCAGCCTTCGACAGTGTAGAGAATCGATATACTGTCTGACAGACGTTCTGGGGGAGTGGAAAACCACCCCGTGCTTGAACAGGCTGTGCCAGGTGTGGAGAGCAAACGAATGGTGTAAAAGGTTCGTCAACGGCGTTGAGAAAATTCGCAGGCTGACCACTGAGGCAATCCCAATAACGTCCGGCGCTGCGTGACCACTTGCAGTCGGCGTGTCCAAGACCCCAAATTAGCACCACGCAATCCAAGTGCGCCCCATCCGAGGCACTGAACCTCAAACCGAACGGATTTTGTGCAGCCTGTAAATCGTCCAATAATTACCCCTCCACGGCTGCCGCTTGCAGCGGCAATACGTTATTGAGGTATGCACGAAGGTGAGCCACGCCCCAATGACCCGGTGCTCGCGGTCAAAGGCTCAGCTCCAGTCCCCACCCAATCCCCCCCCCCCCCCCCAGCCATCGGCTGGAAGAGCCTCCCTGCAATAGACGGCTGCTCGGAAGATATATGAGCGCTTCGATCTGCACAGCGGCGCGCTTGCACGACGAGTCGGCATGTACCGCTCGGTTGTAGCAGGCTAACTACCTGCACAAGCTGACGCGCTTGGGCGGAAGATAAGTCCTCATTTGGTCCTCTGGGTAATGAGGAAACTGGTAGGCATGGAAACAACGGTGTGAAGGGTGCGTGTGTGATTAAAAACCGAGTGGCAATCAATCCGACCAACAGCCAGCTTGAACCTCCGGCTTACTCTGCTGCTCTAAATCACTGCCAACCAAAACCAACTCTTTATCTCCTGAGTCGCCGGCGGTACCCTATCGCTGTTCCTGCTCTCCTGCGTTCACGACCAGACTAAGTCAGTAGCTTCATTCAACAGCAGGCATTTAGCTACAGTTATGCAGCTACGCTACCAAGATTCTTTTCGGCCAAATTGGATGTTCCTTGCGTTGTTCATCCTTGCCTTACTCACACCTAAGCCATAGACAATTTCGTCAAGCGTAGCGAAATATCTCCGGAAGGACGGATCATCAAGTGACTGAGGAGGGCGGGCGCTCCGTCGTCACGTGCGCCGGGAGGCAGCCGTGTTCCGGCTGCGAAGCGATCGTTTACGGGACCACATGCCGTCGGTGCGGCGGACGAGATCCGTTCAGTTGACCGCTCGAGGGGCGTCGGTGAGTCGGAACAGACGCGGAGCCGGCGGCAGCGTTCGATGCCGCCGGCCGGCTGCTCCAGCGCCAGCCGGTCGGCCGGGTCTGCAGCTGGGAAATGGTCCTGTTCGCTGGGCCGCGGCCGAGGCGCTGGCGGAGCGGAACGGATATGCTGGCTGGCACCGGTCGTGTTTGCTGGGCTGTGACTCTGACACCAGCAAACCGGAGAGGTCACGTACGGACGTCATCGACGCTGTTGCCTGGTACGGAAACGCCCACGCCCGACCACACGCACTCACCAATAATGAAGTCGTATTTCTTGAAGAGCCGTTTCCTGTTGATGGGCCTGGACTCGGGATCGACCAGGTCGTAGTGGTAGTAGGCGATGGCGGTGAGGAGGAGCGGCACAAACCAGACGCCGACGACCAGCGCGGCCGCGGCCGACGGCGCCGCGGCCGTCACTCCCAGCACCGGTATCAGAGGCATGGCGACTGAGTCCTTGCACGGCGCCGTCCGGTGAACACCTCCCCCCGGCACAGGGGTCACCACAGCGTCGCTCAGGGACGCTTCAGCCTCACTTCGGGGTCACAGCAGCCGCTGAGTTCCGCCGCCGCGCGCACCGGGGCCGCACATCACCGACTGCACGCCGCCGAGGTGGTCAGGTCGTCGCCGCTGCCGCCGTGCGAACCGCCCATGGCCGTGGCGCCCGCGCTGTCGCTGAAGGAAAGTCCCTCGCCGCACACTCACTTCCGCCGGCAGATCACGCGACCGCCGCTGTAGCCGGTCTGCGCCGCCGTGTGGCACGTGCTGACCGTGGCGGCTCTCTCGGCCCACTGACCCGCCGCGCGCGCCGCCGTGCCGCGGCCGCCCTGCCCGACGTGTTACATCAGCCGACTTTCGCCCTCGCCTGTCGCCGCCCGCCGGCCGAGCCGCACGCGCTGACCGGCCGCATGTGCGTGCGCGTGGGGACGCGCTGGGTGGCGCTGCTTTGCTGGTAGGATCGCCCCATTAGCGCGGTATGCGGCCCGCACGCAGGCGCTGTGGCGCTGATCATGCTGCAGGCGGTTACCGGGCTATGGATAGTGAATTAGTGGACAGACGCCGGCGCCGTGCGTATTCAGCCGGGGAAAGTGTGGGTGAAGTGACGCGCTTGGAGGTGTTTACTAAACGATATTCGAGTGATTCCGACGGTCGACCCGCCTGACCCATTTGCCGGGTGGGCCCTCAGACTTCCAGGCCTTGGACCAAGCCAGTCGGCTGCTTAGCACGGTTTATGAGTGTGATGAGTGGCAAGTTTCGATAAATTTTGATGCGTTTGGCTAATACGGTATATTTTTGGACGGCAAATCCTTACCAATTTCTCCGCAGCCCCTGTCTAAAAATAACCGGTTATCATTTTGACGCAACAACTCGTGGTAATAACCACAGTCTGGTTGTCAAACCCGTTTGGTGAGTGCCGAGATATAACTTGAATACATTTGACACTATATTGCGCTAAAGCATCTGCCTGCAGATGTTATACCATGTTTTTTTAAGAACAATAGTTGTTCGAAATGTTTCAGTTCAACAGCACCTGTCACCTCTCCAAAAGAAAGAGCAAGGGGGAAGAGATAGGGGGAGAGGGAAAGAGAACGAGAGCGAGAAAAAGTCACTTTATGACCTTCGTGGGTTGCTTATAACATAACGCTCAAAGTCAGCCCAAGTTATCTCGATGGTACCTATGATGCATTCATGCTAGGATCGGTACGGCCTCTTGATGTTCGTCTCCCATTCCAACCGGCCACACAGGCCACACAGGCTTTGGTTCCCAGAATTCATGGAAATTCTACGCATCGATCTCCTTTATACGAACAATAGATGATAATAGTTCCCCTATCACACCAGCTTGCCTATTCGGGTGCTTAATTGCCTCGCATCTGAGGGCGAGCATCCCCAATTATTGATCAGCGGGGAGTTTAATTCACAAGTGGTTGGAAAATGATCAATTGAAATGGATTATTCCCTGATGCGGGTCACACTTGTTTGCCCAGATTAATCCCTCGCCAGTTTCGCCAGGTCCGGCCAGCCTCCGGGAGGGATGGAGGGAAGAGTGAGGGGCGGTGTTTGGTGCGATTCCCTCACTGATCCCACGGTGGATGTGATTAAATGCATATTTAGAGATCAATGCGATCCGTAATTTTCACTGATATGTTATTCTGGTATCCCTTGCAAGAGACCTGTTAGGTTGAGTTAAAAGTTCTTTTGGGGGTAAAAGCATGTATGCTTCAGGTCCAAGTACTCTGCCATTGCGACACAGTTTGCTCATACGCGCAGTGAGGCTTGTAAGAGCCAAATAGTGACACAATCTGCTTCAAAGAGGTAATGCGATATCATCCGAGGTCATTCCATGGTATCCCATAACCCTAACCTTGGGTGACCTTGTGCGACATTGTACATATGATCTTAATCTAAGACGGCGACATTGATGTATTACGAAACCTCTATAAGCACTACTTCGGGCGTCTTCAAAGCATTGGATCCGACACCACGCGAGCTTTAAATGTCATTTACGTTATTTATGACACACTGCGGTCACCTCTGCTCATTGCATGACTTGTCCGAGAAAGCCGATCGCAGTTCAAGATCTGACTGTATGTGACTTAATGTTATCATGACCTCCGGCAAGGTCTAGATCATTAACTATGTGCATGATGTACATGGCACAACACCTTCATACCATGCAGCACCAGTGGAAAAGAAGACCTGACGCACTGACGCAGAATCAGGAGTGCGTCATGGAGGATTGTTCTCCCAAGTTTCTTGCCGTGCATAACTTTAAAAACGATGTAAAATGTCAGCAACCTGAAATGGAAGGCACTTGAAACGCACAGGCCAGGTGTAAAAAGGTGGTAGGCTTGGCCGTAAGTGCCGTCGGTCGAATCTGCACGTGTTATTACCTCCGGGTGATAGTGTGTCATTAAGACTTTACGACGCATTCAGCTACTGAGGCCATGTGGCATCGCCTGCGCCTCCCCCCGGCAAGAAGGGCGGGCACTGCGAGGAGTCGAACCCCGTACCTCCGGTTTCCCACGCGCCACCGGGTGATAGGTACCGGCCACGGGGCAGTGCGTGTGCCACCTCCATAAGTACCTTGACTGGCGGACTGGGCCGGCACCCTTAGTGAGGAGCCTGGCTGATTTACAACGGCTTGTGGGGATGGGGCTGGGTGGACTGAATCGGTCGTGACTCCGCCCCTCTTTCCTCAGTCGTGTTTCGTCCTTCATCTGCGCAGCGCCCCATTCTGACTTCTAAGATTTCTAGGCTCTTTGTTCCTTTAGCCGGTGAACCAGCTAGTAGAACCTTTTTAAAACCAATGTAATATTGAGCTGCTATTCGTAATATCCTGCTTGTACTTTGGTGCAGAAGCTTGCGGTGCTGAACTCACTGTTAGGGGTCCAAATTTTACTTTTGGGGGACGGGCAATGGCCCGCCCAAAAGAATATAACTCGATACCCGTGCAAAGGAGCCATTTGCCGTGGCTTCGATCCCAAGGTCGCATGAACGGCAAACAGTTTGAACTAGCTAGATAAGAAGAAAAAGTCGACTTGTATAAAAAGTCAAAGAACTCGACCTCTTTGAATAACAAGTTTTCACCCCGCTGCTGTATGACCAGTTACGAGCCGAGGGAATCGAAGCTGGTTTTAGAGCTGTTGTCAGGGAACGAGTAAGAGTCAAAAGGGCAGCTAGGAACCGTTGAGCTGAGACAATACCGTGGGCCAGAGACGAGCACGAGCCAGCGGCGGGGTCAGAAATGGTAGCGATGGTTGCAGGGGTGTTTCTGGTGTTCGTGTGGGGAGAGGCAGCGCAACGGGACGTGCTGGGGCCAGTGACGGCTCGGTCGTCTGCCATCAGGGGGCAGTCGGTGTCAGAGGCCAGAGTCGAGTCTGTGTCAGAAGTCGGAGCTGAGTCTGTGTCAGAGGCGAGAGTCGAGTCTGTGTCAGAGGCCAGAGTCGAGTCTGTGTCAGAAGTGAGAGTCGAGTTTGTGCCAGAGGCCATAGCTGAATCTGTCTCAGTGGCCAGCGTCGAGTCTGTGTCAGAGGTCGGAGAGGAGTCTGTGCCAGAGGCCAGAGTCGAGTCTGTGCCAGAGGCCCGAGCTGAGTCTGTGTCAGTTCCTGTAGGATTGGCTTTGCCATTCCCACACTTCCTGCCTGTGTCGGGCAAGTGCGAAGCTAAAATATGGAATAACTGAAATGTTAAACGCAGCGGAATGAAAAACAATGGTGCGTTGTGGACCAAATGCGCAGTGGTAATGGAAAAATTTCCGGAACGATCCCTACTCCGCACAGGGACCCGTATTCGGGGGGGGGGGGTGAGAGCGGGGGGAAGGATGCCCTTTAGGACGGCACTTTTACACGGTGCTCAAGGTGAAGGCTGCAGCTCAACCCGGGTAGGCGCGCGTTGCAAGGATTAAAAGTAAAGCGATGTGTGAGAAGAAAGGGATGCCTTGTGCCCGTCTCTCTGCCTAGGAGCAGACGTAGCTTGGATTTGTTGCCTGGATTAGAGCCCTTTCAGCCAGTCACGACCATTGCAGGTCCATGGGATGAGGGAGAGAGGATAACGGTGGGATGGAGCTTTACGCGCCAGGGGGTCTCCGTCGAGCACAAGCTCGCACAGGGACCGTATGCGGGGTATGTCTTGGGCGCTTGGAAGGGCCGTACCAAGGGACACTTGAGCCCTCTCATGGCTGGTGTCTGTAGTTTGCCTCGGATTAAAGCAGGCAATGGGGGGACGCAGGACAAAGCAAGGATGAGGATAATGCAGGCGTAGATATTTAGCAGCGACCAAGCGTTCATATGTAAGTGACCTAAGTGCAAGTGACATGAAGGGTATTACATCACAGCAGACGCAAGCGGCGATAAACACGCTAACCACTGTCATTACATGCTCTGAACCCTCTGAGGAGCCATTAGATAGCCGTACTAGGGTTAACTAATGATGAATGATAGCCATGGCCAACGGACGAGGGACGTGCGACACGATTGCCATCTATCGGCGGCGGGCGGAGGCAGAGCCAGCCCGGCCACCTCCCCGGCAGACGAGCAATGAATGGGGTCAGGGGGCCGCGCGACTCGGGTAAACAGGTCGTCCGGCGGCCAGGCGGGCCTCGGCTGCCAAACATGTCCGGTGTGGTGGACGGTGGGGGGCGATACCTGCTCCACGGACCCGGAAAATAACAGGGCAACTGGGGTCGGGTTGTGGTGGGTGGGAGCGTCACACAACACACTCGGCTTTATCGTGTATGTGAGAGCATGACATTACATCGGGTTTTAGAATACGGGAGCCTGAATGGTTGGTTATTCGGATGCATTTTGGCATGACAGTATCAGCCCAGATTTTGAGCACCTCCTGTATTCGCGCGTCTTAGTTTTTCAGCGCCATTTTTTGACTGTTCGATGTTCCCTCGTGACCATGAGCACAGAGGGCACGTCCAGCATCGACACTATAACCCATGTTTCTTTCGATAAGGTCGTTTAACCATTACCTCCTGCCTCCTGGCGTAATAAATGTTCATTATTGTCAGCATGAAAACTCCTAGGTTATGTTGTCCGACCTATATGAGCTTTAAATGATAACGGTGACCTCTGATTGACGTGATGTCACGCAAATTCTGACTGACCGTATTTGACATGCGGACTACTTTGCTGGCCCGAAATATGTTAATAACGTAGTTCGCAGCCTTTCTTTGCAGATGGGTAGCATGCATAAGATACATAACGGAGATGCATACTGGGCTGGACGTGGACCATACCAGATGTACCGTTACAAGAGGATGTCAGGAACCGGGT